AACGCCCAATAACATTGATACTGAACGTTGTGGATCCACGGAGTGCTTAGATAGCTTATTTCTGTTACGCGAGGAGACAGACAGTTCATATCCTCAATGCACTCCTCGACTTACTGTGGCGAACCCACAGTGTCTTCCACCTTCGACGTCACGCCACGCATAAAGTTACACGATTGCAAGTCTCGGCCCTCTGGGACAGCCAGTCACGGGTGCCACAAACTGCATGTGGCTGCTAGCAAGTGCGCATGCACTAAGCTGACTACGCCAATCCGCTCTTGCCAGTCATCTTCCTGTGGCTGACTCACCCAGGACCCTACTTCAACGACTGCCAGGTTCACACACTGCGGACGCGGACCCCTCGCGGGTGAGTGTGCATTCGTCCGACTGTAAACTTCCTCCAACCTATTCTCCACTACCCCTGTACAGAATACACTAGTCCTTCTATCACAGTCTCACATCTTCTCCTCCTACCTGGAACTGAAGCTCACAGCGGCAGAGGTTATGCCCATTAACTTAACCCACTGCGATATTACCGCTATCTCTCCTTTGGAAGACGTTGATGGTCCACCAACTGAAGAATTTAAAAATGTCTGCTCATAATCCACTTCCTATTCGCCCTCTTTGCACGCGAAAAAGAAACAGGTGTTTCAAGGAGGACGTAAAGTACGCCAACGAAGTTCACTTTTTAAAAATCAAAGCAAACCGAAAAGTATGCGACGGCAAATGCAAAATCGTATAGTATAGTCGTGAAAATAGTAACAAACGTTTGGCGTTACACTAGGGAAAGGAATTCGGTATAGAAAGCAGAGCTTCTGCTGCCGGGCAGCCGCAGGATTGATGCCAATGAATACAAGCTATCCCCTACTTATGTGACACCGTCTTGCTACTGTGGGCAAACAGGAAATATAGAAAGGAGCGAAAAGTCTGAATGTCCATAAAAATGCACAAACACACTGTCTTGCAAAGGGATATAACTAATCATTCCAGCAGTACAAATGGCTTCGTGTTTACCTTCAGAAGTACCTAGTCCCATCTCCTAACTTTAATCTTAACCCAGTGGCAGCCCGTTATCAGCGTCACTGCACTGACTCATCGTGCCTACCAAATCTCTACATAGTCACCCATGAAAATCTTCCCCTGCGCGCTCTCTTTCGAATCGCTGCGAATGCCGTGCACGCTGTAAGCCTCTTGCTCAATGTGGGATCGCACCTGCACGAGAGCTCGAAACCAACCCGTGTGCAC